GGGCGCGGACGGAGCTGGCCCGGATCAGTCTCCCGAGGCCCGGCCGGGCTTCTTTCTTCGCTTTCGCGCCCTGTGGGGTCACGTGCCGGAGCCCCTCCCCCACCCTGCCGCCGCGACGGGATGCGGGAAGAGCGCGGGTCTGCGCGCGGCACCCGGCTGCCATGTTGCAACGGGGAAGGAAATGAATGAAGCTCCGTTAGGAAACCTTCCTCCCCGCTGCTTATCCCTCCCCCTCGGCAAACCTGGCCCAGCCAGGCTTCAAGTTTCTGGCGTTCGGCGGAGCTGGGCTTAAAAACCCAGCTTCCGCCCGATGGCCCCCTAGTCGTAACGCTTCTTTAGATAATTCTGGATGAATCAAAGCCGGTTTGTGCAGGGGCTCGTTTCCGCCCACCCCGAGGTGTGGCTGTGGCTCCTTGCCGAGATGGGGGAGCTGACTCATGGTTAGAAAAGAAAATTCCACCGCAAGATGGCTCTGACGCCAGCAGCCCCTTTCCTTGCATTGGCGCATCGCTGACCCGACCCTAAAGGTCGGGCTGGAAAGGTTACTGTGAGGATTGAGTGTCAGTGAGCCCCGGGAATCCTGCCCTTCTCCCCATCCCATCTTCAGAAACTAGATCTCCCCACTCCACCCTAATTGGAGGTTAAATATAGCAGCCGACCTTTCCGTAGCGGGACCTGGGCTTCTGCTCTCCAGCACCCCCTGCTCCCCCACGCCCACGTGTTGCTGCCTGTCCTGATCTGGAGCCCCAAGGATGAGGGCCTTGGAAACCAGCTGGAGGGGAGGGGTGGGCTTATCCGTCCCGTTAGCCTGACCTTTACTCTTGCCCTTTGAGCTGTGAGTGTATAAGTCGTGTTGCCCAGAAGTGAGTTGGATGGAGCTGGGCCAGGAAGAGCAAGACTTCCCAGGCCAGGGAATGGGTAGTGGGGGTGACACGCCTTGCACCAAGCTTCGTCCCAGGCTCGGTGGCAGTGTTCCTACCTTTGCCCCTTCTGGAAATGGCTGCGGATGGGAAGTCTTGGAGTCTGGCCACCTCTTTGGCAAGAAAGGCTCCTTTTGTGACTGTAGTGTAAAGGCGGCCCACAAGGTGGGGTTGCTCAGGGAAGATATGATACATTCGACCCCATAGAATTTGGGAGAATTCAGAACAGTTGGCCCTTGTATCCAAGAGCTTTGATTTCAGCCAACTGGGTCCAAAATATTCAGAAGGAAAAAATTCTACAAAGTTCTTAAAAACTGCATCAAAGGCCAGGGATAAATTAGCTCAGTGGTGTTGCCTGCCTCACCAGTGCAAGGGCCCACATTTATCGAGTCCACATAAATGAAGCACTGCAAAGGCATCTCTTGGACATTAGGAACAACCTGGGATAATTTCATCCCTGCAGGAGGCTGTACTGTGTTAGACCTAAGTGTGGCATTTCACACACAGGATTTCAGCATCCTTTCTGTCCAGAACTTGGTACCCAGGGACAACTGTCTTGGAGGATTTCTCAGCTGAGGGCCTCACTGCAGATAGTGCAGCCCCAGGCTGCCCCTCACCCATTTTTGCCTCTTGTGTCTCTCAGATTTGGCCGCATTGGCCGCCTGGTCACTAGGGCTGCTTTCAACTGTAGCAAAGTGGACATCGTGGCTATCAATGACCCCTTCATTGATCTCAACTACATGGTGAGTGTAGGGGACCCTGCCCCTCCCCACAGGGAGCCTGGCACGTGGAGATGGTGTCTGATGCCCGCTGCCCGCCCCAGGTCTACATGTTCCAGTACGACTCCACCCACGGCAAGTTCAAGGGTACCGTCAAGGCTGAGAACGGGAAGCTGGTCATCAACGGCAAGGCCATCTCCATCTTCCAGGAGTGAGTGCAGTGGGGAGGTGTCCAGGCTGGGGTCCCCTTGGGGATGGGGTCCCTGTACGAGCTCCATCCTGTTTTCCTACACAGGCGAGATCCGGCCAACATCAAGTGGGGCGAAGCTGGCGCCGAGTATGTGGTGGAGTCCACTGGGGTGTTCACCACCATGGAGAAGGCCGGGGCTCACCTGAAGGGTGGAGCCAAAAGGGTCATCATCTCTGCTCCATCTGCTGATGCCCCCATGTTTGTGATGGGCGTGAACCATGAGAAGTACGATAACTCCCTCAAGATCGTCAGGTAAGTGCCCCGGAGGGCGGTGGGGACAGTGGTGACAGTGACTGCAGGGCTGCCCTGACTGTGCTCTTTTCAGCAATGCTTCCTGCACCACCAACTGCTTAGCGCCCCTGGCCAAGGTCATCCACGACAACTTCGGCATCGTGGAGGGGCTCATGACCACAGTCCACGCCATCACCGCCACCCAGAAGACTGTGGACGGCCCCTCTGGGAAGCTGTGGCGCGACGGCCGCGGGGCTGCCCAGAACATCATCCCCGCGTCCACTGGTGCCGCCAAGGCCGTGGGCAAGGTCATCCCGGAGCTGAATGGGTGAGGCCACTGCTCCGCTCTGGGGCCAGGGGTTGTGGGGAAGGCCTGGGGTGTGGTGTGGCTGACGCTCCTGTGCCTGCAGCAAGCTCACTGGCATGGCCTTCCGTGTGCCCACACCCAACGTGTCGGTGGTGGACCTGACCTGCCGCCTGGAGAAAGCGGCCAAATATGATGACATCAAGAAGGTGGTGAAGCAGGCATCCGAAGGCCCTCTGAAGGGCATCCTGGGCTACACCGAGGACCAGGTATCCCTTGGGCTGGTACTGTGTCCATGTACAGCCCAGAAGCGGCCTGCCTCCCCTCACTGAGACCTCCCTTCCCTAGGTTGTCTCCTGTGACTTCAACAGTGATACCCACTCTTCTACTTTTGATGCTGGGGCCGGCATCGCCCTCAACGACCACTTTGTCAAGCTCATTTCCTGGTATGTTCCTGGCTGGGCGGGGCCTGGCATGGTGGCAGGGGGTGGCTGGTGCAGAGTGGGCCTCTGACACCCCGCATCACTTCGCAGGTATGACAATGAGTTCGGCTACAGTAACAGGGTGGTGGACCTCATGGTCTACATGGCTTCCAAGGAGTGAGCGGCCCGACCACTGCCCCTGCCCCTGCCACAGGAGACCACGGAGGGACAGGCTCATTCCTTGCTGCGAAGACCCGGCCCCGCTCAGCCCCAACACTGAGTATCTCCCCTCACAGCTTCCATCCCAATCCCCAGGAGGAGGGGACAGGGAGCCCCGGCTTTTCACACCATCAATAAAGCCCACTGCACCCCCTGCTGTCTGTTGCTGCTGTGAGGGCCCAGGAGGGAGGCGGGCTGGGCTGTCCAAGCCTCCATCTAAAGGACATCAGTGTCCACTGCCTGTGCCTGTCCACAGATACTGTGGAAAGGAGGTATCTGAAGTCAGTTCACTGCTCCAGATCCCAGGGCTGGGAAAACTGCCAGGCAGTAACTGGGCTTGAAGCGCTGTGGGTGGGGCTCACCTGGCCCATGCTGAGGGACCAGTGTTTCTCAGGAAGTCAGGAGTTCACATTCTGATTGTGCCAAAAAGCACTTGAAACAGTGACACAAAAGTACGGGTATTTGCTACAGCAGTTCTATTAAAGACCACCCAAACCTGAGTCCCCACGCCTCACACAGGTGTTCCAAGCTGGTCCACACCCAGACATCACAGCTGTGGGTTCCAGCAAGAGACCTGGAACATCCAGTGCACAGGGTCACCTGTCTTCTGCTCCCAGGGAAGGTGGGGGGGGCAGCAAGGAGCCTCAGGCTGGTGGTATCATCCCAGTTCCTGGGCTACAGCGCCAGAACAAAACCAGAGAGCCATTTCTAGACCCAGATGGAGGGCAGGACCCGGGCACAGTCCTCAGGAGGGGGCTGGGGATGGCAAGGGCTGCTTTAAAGATGGGGAAGTAGAAGATACCCACAAGGGGCCCAGAAAGGGTGGGGTGAGCCTAGCTCCAGACACCTCACACTGGGAAGGGAGAAGCCTCAGGGCCAGGCCTGCCTCTGGTACAAGTGACTGTCAATGTCCACTCAGCCCCCAGCCTCGCAGGTGGCTGGGCTGGGCCCTATCTCATGGAGTTGTCAGGTGCCACATCTCGATCGCCGTCATCAGTCTCGCTTGGCGGCAGTTCGCTAGGCGGGACTGCAGTGAAAGCAGGAGACTTTCTAGGAAAAAAAGCAGAGTTGTCACCTTGGGACCAGTGGGTAACATGGCATGTGGAGGGTGTGGGAGGGAAGCTGGAGCCAAGGCCGTCTATACCAGGGGCTCCAAGGGGCTCAGAAGCTGGGTACACCCAGGCCAGTGTGAGACGCTGCGTGGCACGAGGGTCACACTGACTGCCCGGCTTCATCTCCCTGTTTTGCTTTTTTAAGATGGGTCTCAACTGCTTCCTGAGCTAGCCCTGAATTGCATTGCAGTGATCTTCCGGTCTCAACCACCTGAGAGGCTAGGACCATGGACACCAGTATGGTGAGCTGTTTATACTTTTTAGCATTCTTTCCGTGTACTCTGGTTGAGGTATAACCTACCCAGCACCAAAGGCACAAATCTCGGCTGACCATTCCTGGAGGAAAACCTGCCCCATATGACTCCCTCCAGCCAACCTGCTGCCCAGGACTGGTCTGAGCAGCAGGAGGGACCCATCTGTGTCTGGCCCCATCCCTCTGTCCCTGCCCGCTTGGCAGGGTCAGGGCCTCACCGGTCCCCCGACTGCGTGATGAGCCGGCGGCAGGTCTCCATCTGCACATCCAGGCCCCGCTTCATGCTGCACATTTCCATGTACTCGTGCAGGTGCCGGTTCATGTCGTTCTTGGCCGTGGCCAGCTCCAGCTGCAGTGGGGTGGGGAAGCCACCCGGTTAGCAGGCCTGGGCCTCTGCAACCCAGGGCCCAGACACTGAGCTGACAAGAAGACCAATGGCTAGGCCCAGACGGCCATGGTTGAAAGGTGACAAATTAAAGCCAGAAATCGTGGCTCACATCCGTAATCCCAGAAATCTGGGAGGCTGAGGCAGGAAGAGGATGTTAAGTTCAAGCCCAGCCACTTAGACCGTATCTCAAAATAATGAAAAAGGGGCTGAGGGTGTAACTCGGTGTAAAGGCTCTGGTTCAACCCCTAGTGCCACAAAAAAGCAATCAACCTAATCAGAAGCAGAAAGCACCCGAAAAGCTGAAACTGATCAATTCCTTCCCTTTCCTTCCCCCTTTCTTTTCCTTTCCTTTAGGCACTGAGGATGGAGCTGGGGCTCCATGCACGCTGGTCGGGGGTGCTCAGCCCTGCACACACTGCCGCCCCTAGCCCCTCTCCCCCAGCCCTGAGGAGGGAACAGGGATCAACAGGTGGGCAGACCAAGGAGCTGACACCTCCACCACGTGGGCAGTGCCTGAGATTAACCAGCTCCTCCTCAGCACACCCCTGCCAGGGAGCTGGTCTGAAACCCTCCAGGACCAGCTCCAAGGCCACAGCAGGAGGAAGTCGGCTGCTGGTGGAAAGGGCTCACTCAGCCAAGTGTGTGGTGCGCACCTGACAACCTGCCTGCTCTGGGGGCCGAGACAGGAGGAATGCAAACCTGAGCTCAGGTGAGACCCTGACTCAAAATAAAAAAGCTATTTACAAAATAGGAATTTAGGGCCCAGGATTTAGCTCAGTGGTTCCACCACCTGCCTCACAAGCACAAGGACCCGAATTCGATCCCCGGTACCAAAAAAAAAAAAAAAAAAAAAAAAACTTAAAAAGGGGCTAGGAATGTAGCTCAGCACTCTGAGTTCAATCCTCAGTACTGAAGGAAAAGAGGCTCATTCCCCTAGCATCTCCTTCATCTCCTCACTTCTTGCAGGAGAGTGAGGGGCTTGGAATCAGGGAGTCCGCCCCCCTGCTAGCCAAGCTCTGCAGCCAGAAGCCTATGAGGCAGAGGGGGAGGTGGGGCCAAAGTGAGAAAAGATCTGGGCCACAATCAATGCACTGCTTGTCTCTGTTTCAGGTACAAAGGTCAGGCCAGAGAGGACAGAAGCCAGAAAACCAAAGTGCCCAGGTTAATTCACATAGTTGCCTGACAGCAGAGGAAGGGAAGGGAGGTCGGAGGGAGCTGGGGTGGAAGCCACCCGGAAGTGATCAGAGTTGGCTGAGAGGCCGGGAGCCAGGAGGGAGAATGAGACTGTCATAGAGCAGACTGAGTGGCAGCGTAAGGGGGAGTTGGGGAGGACAGCTGAGGGGCAGGATGTGCTCTCCGTGCTGTTCTGGGGATGCTGCAACACCTGCTCAGATGGGCTGCCACCACCCCAGCTTCTCTTCGGGGACAGCACAGCAGAGGGGACTGTGGACCATCATGTGGGGGACAAAGAAGAAGGAAGCAAAGTGAAAACATTCTATCAAAATACAGAGAGAAATCAGGTGCGGTGGAGCATGGCTGTAATTCCACCTACAAGGGAGGCTGAGGCAGAAGGACCACAAATTCAAGTCCCACCTGGACCACTTAGTAAGGTCCTGTTTCCAAATAAAAAAGGACTGAAGGTTCATTGGTAGAACACCTGTGGGTTAGATCCCCAGTGCTATAAAAAATAAATACATGGAAGCCAGGCGTGATGGCACACACCTGTAATCCCAGCACTCAGGAGGCTGAGGCAGGATTGCTGTGAGTTTGAGACCAGCCTGGGCTACATAGTGAGTTCCAGGTCAATCTCAACTACACAGTGAGACCCTGTCTCAAAAAAATAAATACATACATACATACATACATACATACATGGCTGGTCTCTACCTACGTGTAAAGTCCTCCTAATTCACACCCTTATGGCAGGGTTGAGGTACAAGGACAACATAAGTCCAGGGACCTCCACACCTCAACATGGGCAGGGTGCGGAGGGACCTCAGCTTACCATCCACTACTGGGGTGCAGGGACCCTGAAGTCAGAGGTCATAGGCCCTCTCCCTAGGCCTGCCCCTCACCACATCCTACGGGTCAACAGGGCTCAGAAGAGCTTCAATAGGAAAGGGATGTTTCCTTCCAGCACAATTGCTTTCTCACCAGATCTCCACAGTGGGGGGGCAGAGGTTGGAGATGGAGTGTTGAGCTGCATCCCCAGGCCTTTCTGTTTCTGAGACAGGGTCTCAGTGAGTCACTAAGTTGCCCAGGCTGGGCTCCAACTTGTGATCCTCCTGCCTCAGCCTTCCACAGTGCAGAGATCATAGGCGTGTGCGCCACCACACGTGAGCCAGAGATGTGGCCCCAGATCACTTGGTCCCTGCCAAGCTTAAGGCAGTGTGGGGACCCAGAACCTTGAGTCCCCCAAGGAAAACATGGGCGTGGCTAAGAGGCAGGGAGGAAGGGGAGGACACAGTGAGGCAGGAGAACAGAGGACAGTGAGATCAGTTCCCGCCGTGGCCTTAGCTGGAGCAGAACACTGGCTGTGCTGCTGAAACTTAGCATGTGTTTGCCTGGGCCAAACGCCTAAACTCGGCTGTGCCAGAGGAGCAGGACCGTGTGATTCATGTTCAGCCTCCCTCTCTAGATGCAGCAGCGTGGACACGGCAGGGATCGGTGCCCGAGAGGCAAAAGTCTGCCCAGCCCCACAGCAGGGTCCCTATGAGGCCACCTCATGCAGGGCAGGACGCACAGTCCCACCCAGCCCTCAGGCCAGGCACCCAAGGGAGCGCCAAGGCAGGGAACAGAGAGATCCCTCCACATCTGGGTGCCAGTGCTGCTGGCATTGCACAGGTAACACTCCATTTAATCCTCTCAGCGCCCCGGGAGTGGGGGGACTGCTCAGCCTCGGAGAGAACAAGTGGTGGCAAGTGACAGAGCTGAGACTCAAAAGCACATCCCTCTGCCTCCAGAGCGTGGGTCTCCAGGACCCACAGGGAGGACCACAGTGGCGGCAGCACACACCTTACCTCTATCTGGTCTATGGTTTCCTGATACTCCTTCTCCCGGGTTTTGAACAGGGACTCGGTGTCTTTGATCACCTTCTCCAGGCTGTCTTCCTGCTGCTGGAGGAGAAGAGGGAGAGAGAGGTCAGGTTGGAAGAGGAGGCTGCAGAGGAACAGGAAAGGACAGAGGGAGGAGGGAGACACAGAAGGGAGCAGCAGAAGCCACATGGGGAGACAGAAGGGGACACAGAGGGGCGGGTGGCTGGGGAGGCAGAGCCCAGCCTGATACGGGAGGGGCCGTTACCTCTCCCTGGGCCTCTGCCGCTGCCATGGCGTAGCCTGAGAAATCCTCCCACAGCAGCAGGGTCTCCTCAGTCTCCTCCCAAGTCAGGCTGTCACAGTCATCCTCAAAATCATACTCCCTCCTAGAGACAGGGAACCCTGAGTCGGCAGCTGCGGGACCGGCGGGGGGGCGCGGGCCAGAGGGACTCACAGCTGGTTCAGCATGCGCTGCATCTCCTCGTTGATGCTCAGGGCCGCGCTCTCCTCCTCCTCCTCCTCCCCATCTGGCTGGCGGGGCCCAGGCCCGGAGCTCTCCGACACCGACACCGACACTGACACCGAGGTGTCCTCCTCTGCGGCGGCCTTGCGCTCCCGCTTCCGCCCCCCCATGGATGGGACCTTGATGGGAGACAAGTGCAGAGACTACAGAGAGGAGCCGGGCAGGGGAGAGGGCGCGGGAGGCCGCGGGCGGGCGGGGAGAGCGAAGCCAGCAGAGGGGAGGGACAGAAAAGACAGTCACGATGACGGACGGGCACAGCAGTCACCGGAGACAGGCGGACACACACGGACGGGGAGGGGCAGACTGGGGAGGAAGAGGAAGAGAGAAGAGAGCACTAAGGCACGGGAGGGCCCTCCTGACCACTAAGAGGCGCCTGACGCGAAAGAGGAACTGTTCTCTGAAAGAACTAAAGTCCCAGGCCGAGGCTGAGAGTGTGGTGTTTACAGGGGACAGCTTGAGTCGCACCCAGACCTCGACAGCCAAGGGGACAGAGGCGAGGAAGAAATGCAATGAGGGGAGACTGAAACGGGAGAAGAGCAAGAGCCACAGAAGGGGGCATCTGCCGAAGAGGGGCCAACAGGGCAGCTCAGAGCCTGGGACGGGACACCGATAAGCTTGCATGAGGTCAAACTAACCAGCTTCTTCTACAGAGAAAGCAAGAAAGATGAGAGGAAGAGGAGAGAAGCAGGCAGGAGAGAGAGGGGGAAGACGGCATTAGAGACGGCTTCCGGACTGCCCCCCACCGGTCTCTGCTCTCTGCCTCCGGAGAGCGGCCAGATGGAAGCCCCTCCGCTGCCCCAGCCCCACGGGTGAGGGCAACCAGGCACGCACCTGGAACATCTGGATAACGTCCTCGCAGTTGCGCTGCTGGGCCAGGTCACACAGCTTGGCAGTGATGTCAATGCGGCGGCAGATGTCCATGTCCACCTTCATGGCCTTCTCCTGGATCTTGGTGTCCAGCTCTGACAGGTTCTGCCCAAGGAGCAAGGGAAAGTGAGGAGAGGCCCAAGACCCCAGCCTCCTCCTCCTTCCCATCATGCCCACCACTTCCTCCATGCAGTCCCTAGCTCCCTTTCCCAAGTGTGCGTGGTGGCACAGGCCAGAAATCCAGCACGCAAGAGGCTGAGGCAAGAGGACTGCCCTAAGTTTGAGGCCAGCCTGGTACATAAGTGAGTTCAAGGCCAGCCTGAACATCATGGCAAGATCTTGTCTCAAAAAGCAAAAAAAAAAAAAGGGGGGGATTTCTTTTCCTGGGGACCCTCCCCAGCGTCCCGGCCAGAGGACAGCCAGAGGGTGTGGCTGAGCTGGGACAGACAGGGGCCCCCTAAACCAACAGTCCTGACTCTCCTGGAACTTCAGGCCACAGAGAAAGGAGACCCTGGGCACTGCAGAGTGGGGAAAGGACCAAAGTGACGCTGACAGCTCATTAGCAATAAGTGGCGCCCGTGTGCATTTCCACCCTCACAAAAACCCTGCGCAGCATCTGCCTTGACTTTCCCGAGTGATGCGCAGGTGAGACCACAGGGCCTTGCACCTGGCAGGAAGGAGCTGGCCCAGTACCACTGGCCACAAGGGAGCCCGGCAGCCACCAGGGACAAGGCTACGCCAGCCCTGCAACACGACACAACACAGGCTTTTGTTCCTTTCTGTCCAGAGCTGCAGGGTAGCATGGGAGAAACAACTAGACGGATGGCAAAGTGAGGGAGGGTGGACGGGGCGAGGTGGAGCTGGACTCACATTGCTCATGAGCCCCTTGAAGACCACCAGCTCGGCTTTCAGCTGCTCCACCTTCATGGCCAGCTCCTCTTGGCAGGCGTCGGCCTCTTGGGCTTCCTGCAGGCAGGAGGCGGCCCAGACATCAGGATATGGGGAGGGACAGAAAGGCAGCACCAAGGCAAGGGAGCAGGGGCAGTGGCGCCCTTCTTACCTCCTGGAGCTCGTTCACGCGCTCCTGCAGCTGGATCCGCACCGTGTACTCCTCCTCCCACCTGACAGCAGGAAGGAGGACATAGCCCAGTGACCCTCCTGCCCCGCTGCTCCCTGTCCCCACCTGTCTGACCCCAGACGGGGACGTGTGGCTGGCCAGTGGGTGGCCAGCTGCAGCTGTTGGAGGCTATGTGCCTCCTGGCAAGGACCAAGCTCCCAGCTGCCTTCCGGGAACCTCTGGGCCACACACCAGAGGCTATACTTAAGAGCAGCTGTGGCCACCCTGGCCTCTTCCGTGCCCATCCCTACTAGGCCCCAGCTCTGCCAGCTGTCTGCACAGCCACATCGCCCTCCTCCTGCCCACACCAGACCGCCAGGCCCACCCGGCCCAGTCTCCCACCTTCAGCGGCACAGATCCGGTCTCCCGCCTCCTGCCCGCACAGAACAGAGCTCGTCTAGCCCGCTGCCCTGCCTCCTGGGGTACATTTAACCCTGCAAAAGCATCTGCAGGACACAGGCTGGGTCACCAGGGCTGTTCAGGAGCCTGGGGGAAACGCTCAGTCCTACCCAGGGCCCTGGAAGTGAGCCTTGGAGTGGTGTCAGGGCCGGCTGTCCCCCAGCAGCACGAAGGCGATGGCCACCAGGAGCCAGGGATTACTCAGCACCCAGACCAGAAGGAGCATGGGGAGCACCTGGCTATTGCTATGGGATGAGAGCTAGGTAGGCAGCTCCCCAACCTTTCAGAAGCCAGAGACAGGGGACAGGAGACAGGAGACACTCCTGCACACCTTGGGGGCTGGGGCAGGTCAGGACCTACGGTGGGCTGGGCTCACCCTGCTCCCCACATTATGGAAAGGAAAGGAGGGGAACTGCACTGAGAGGGGGTGGGGGTAAGAGGAGCCTCCATGGGAGACAGCAGGTGAGGAAGCGGCACAGAGCAGCCAGGACACAGACATCCCAGGGAAGAGCCTCTGCAGCTGAGGCTGGGCCCTTTCTGCCCCTTCCTGCCACTGTTCTGCGCTCTCAGTTGCCAAGCCTCACAGCTCACAGCCGCACTGCAGAACTCCTAAGAATAGCTCCCGCCTCGCAGCAGGCCCCGCCTGCTCAGGCTGGTCCCTCAGCAGGTGGGGCCCTGCCTTCCTGCCAGCCCCAGGCACCCCTCTCCTTTTCCTCCAGCACGGGGTGAGCCTCAGTAGCATCAGCCCTCATCTCTTCTGGGCCTTTGCTTCTCCTGCTTCAACATGAAGGCTTGGGGCACAGTACCCTCCTGCGCCTGGGGCCCCTGTGTGCCTAATGGAAGCAAGCAAGACTGACAAGGGGCCAATGACCCAGCACAAAATGTATCCCAGGGCTCAGGAAGTATCGCTGACAGCAAACTACAGATTCGGTGGAAACCTAAGTAAGGAAGTTAAGCTAAAGACACAGTGAGCACACACAGCGCAAACAATTCGGAAAATGAATCTGCAGGAAGCTCACTAGGATTCGCTTTACTCTCCAGCCAGACTTTCACACCTGACTTCCACTCGGGGCTCATCTCTTGCATCAGGTATCCTTAACATAGGTAGAATTTGAGCAACGGCTGTAAACACTGGATTTACCAAACACCCACCTTTCAAATAAACTACTGTATATCCTCGAGGTGAAGAGAGAAAAATGTCACACAAAGCAGGGGACCTGAAAATAGAACCCAGAAGGCCTCAGCTCCTTCCCACTTTAGCATCAAGCTTTCCCCAGTACTTCCGGGCCAGCAACAAGAGGTGCAGTGTTGCTATAAAGAGCCCAGAAGGAGGGCAAGGGATCTGGGGTGGAAAAATGAGCGCAGCCCATGTCATGCACCCTCCGGCTCCAGCCCAGGGCCCTCTGCACAGACAGCAGGGCGCTGCAGAGTGATGAGCTAATCAGTCCCCAAGGAGGAGTCTGCAGCCCCGGACAGCTGGACCAAGGACAAACACTCACTTAAAAAAATAAAAGGAAGCAGCTGTTTTGTGGCCATGGATATATTCCAGAACCGCCTGCGTTCCACTGACTGCAAACTCCTGCAGAAGCAGGCAGGCTGGCCCCGGGCAGCACCTGCATGATGGCTTCAGGACAAGTGAAAACCCCAAGGACAACTGACATGGTTCCTCCCTCAGGAAGCCAGCAGGAGGACAGGCCTCCACCTCAGGAGGCTGGCTGCTCTGTGCTCTGGGAACTCAGCAATTACAGATGCTTCAAGGTCGCCCCTGGACCCAGCAGCAGCTTCTCAGAACACAGTCTTTGTCCACTGCTAAACCGGATGCCAATCCCTGCTGCTGTGAGCTGCAAAGGTAGATCCAGGGTGCCTGCCAGGGGTGACAGCACCAAGATGAGCCCCTTCACTCAGGCCCCCTACCCACTGTCATCTCTTGCCCTCCACAGTGGCCCTGATCAGCCTGCAGACCGCTGGCTCTGCTGAACTCCTGTGTACTGGCCTGGCTACCAAGCACCTAGGGACCCCGCCTGGTAAACAGCTGGTACTCTGGTGCCACATCTCTTCCTCTCACCCCTTAGTGCAGGGTTCTTCTCAGCGTGTCATCCTCTGAGCGCACAGGGCCTGCCCTGAGCTGTCCCCCAGTCACCTGGTGTGTCCATGCTCCTAACTTTTGCCTCCTCAGGCCCTCTATGGTGGCTGTGCTCCGTTTTGCTGGCCAGAGTCTCCTGCTAGCCCTAGAACAGCCCCTTCCCTTTGCCCCAGTGAATTCCCTTCACTGTCTTTTCTCCTTTTTGTCACTCACTCCAATGTCTCGAGGTCCCAGAACCTTTCACAGGGAGCAAGAGCACATACGGGGCTTTTCTGAGCAAGGCCTGGGGAAAGCCTGGGTAGGGACAGGACTACCCAACACTACTTCCAGTTTGATTTCGCTTAGTTTTCCAAAATATAGCTATAGCCTTTGCCTCCTACTTTAGATCGTTGTATAGAGCTTATATCCTAAAATCGCCCCAAGAACTGAGACTGGTAGGGCAATCAATACCCCAGGTGCACGTCCCTTTCACTACACACATACACACACACACACACACACACACACACACACACGTTAACACAGCAGTCGCCTGAAAAAACTGAATTCCCCAGTGTACTGCTCCTAGGAGCCCGACTTCTGCATTCTCCCGCGGACCCTGCGCTCCCGCGTCCAGTCCCTGACAGTTCCCTCGTCACACCGCGGGGACGTTACTCATGTTCTGTCCACCCTGACCTAGGCCGCACCCCTCCAGCCCGCTGTGTGTGGCGAGTTGCTACGCCCCGGCCTCCACTCCCCGGGCCCTACCTCCGCTTGTACTCGTCCCGCTCCCGCTTTACTTTGGCCAGCACGTTGTAGAGCGCGCGGATCTCGGGGGTGATGGTGTCGATCTGGACGCCCACCCCGTCAGGGTGCACCCACGACAGGCCGGGCCCCTGCACCAGCGTGGGCTCCAGTCCTGGCCCGAGCCGGCGAG